AATTCAATCTCTCTGATTTTATCATTCATTACACCACATCACACCTCCTAGTTTATAGTATTTCATCTAAAGCAGGGGTCGGCAACTCATTCGACTGTGGGCTGGATAGTGTTATAATGACGGGTCGCGGGCCGAACGAAGGCCATTAATGAAAAATTAAGAAAAATTACATATGCGGACCCCTGTCAACCTAAATATTTAAAACCATAATGAAAATAAACATTGAGAAATCAGAAAAACAAAAGAAAATCTAAAATTAAAAAACACCTTACAAAAATTACTTTTCCTCAAGGAACGTCAAAATACTTCAAAGTGAAAAAAATCAACTGAAGTGAAATGGATGAAATTATGACGTGTAGGTTTGAAACTGTTATTGAAAATTGTTCCATAAACGAACCACACACACACATCAAACAAAAACGAAGCACATATACCCATACATATGAGTGCAAATAGTTGCAAATATACACTTACATACATACAAATGCAGTATCATCCACACATTCATGAGGCATGTATGTATAATGCGCATATGTTTAACTGTCTTTAGATTTCTGCTAACTCGCATGTCAGTCCCGCACTGACCTCTTTCACTTTATCGTTCATTTCGCTTCTGTTATCTTTTAATATAGCCAACGGTCATAACAAATATGTATCCATTATTTGACATTAAACGTACGCAATGCAGCTTGGTAAAATAAGTCTCATGAAAGATAACTGGCAGATAGTCTAATTCGAAAGCCTCGTCTCTCATGTTAAAAATAGAGTCATTTATAATCAGGCTCGCAGGCCGGTCAAAATGCCTTCACGGGCCTATCTGGCCCGCAGGTTGCCTACCCTTGATCTAAAGAATTCAGGTAGGAAATTAAATGTTACAGGTAATCTTTAGGTAATTATTTGTTTTACACACACACACACACGTGTGTGTGAGTATTATATATGTTAGAATATGAGTGACTGAGCAAGATCCCTTCTAAAACTCCAAAATGAACATTTTAGGGATGATTTCCATATTGTTGATATGGTTTTAAATGGCAATAGTGACTTGCAAGCCATTCTCCATTGACATTTACTTTTATGGATGCTAAATAAGTCTACTGGTTGTCCTATACACTTTGTTACAAATGCTGCATGAAAAGTCTTGCTGGGTATCATATTGGTAGATGGGGGTGTTTTTGTGCCCATGTTTGTGACTGAAGGGGACTGCACTGAGAAGCAGACACAGCCACATTCATCAGATAAGAGACTCTCTTGTGGCCCTCTCAGGAGGTGGGTAGATGTCTTCCATATATCTACCAGCTTGTTTTGGCTTAGCATGAGCAACTTTGTTGTTCTGAAATTCTTTGAGACCAACAGCAATCAGATTTACACCCCTGACTCTGTATGATACAAAATGATCCCAGGTGTTCATATCTGCATTGACCTTTGTAAAAGTGCCCTTAAGGTTTTCTTTGAATTGTTTGTGCGGCTTGCATTGAGGATGCTTGCCTTATACAAATTCACCATACAGTATCTGTATTGGCATGCAAGCGTCCTCTAAATGGACAAGGTGACCAACCCATTTAAGTTGGTGCTTTGTGATCATAGACTCAATGCTTGTTATTTTTGCTATTTGGCACATGTAATCACCATGATATCTTTAGTATAATTCACAAGCATCATTGGTGGAACCACTTGAAATGTTGGATATGACTATGGCAGGTTGTCCAAGTTTCACATCCATATAACAGCACTGACAGTACTCATGCTTGGTAGACCACTACTTTGGTTGATATTTTGATGTTTGATTTCAACCAAAGTTTTGATAAAGAGACTATCAAACACATCACAGGCCTTAGAAAGTCTGTAACTGACTTCCATATCAAGTGTATTATGTCTAGCGTGCTACTGAGATAGACAAACATATCTATGATTTCTAACATTTTACCCTTGATGTAGATTGATGGTGGGATCTGGAGCTGGTTGTAGTATAATGACAGTGTTTTTAAGACTAATTGTTAATTTAAACTCATTACACACAGAATAGAAGCAGTCCATCATCAGGATCTGCAGTTACTTCTCCATATGTTACAAGATTGCAGTTTAAAGGAAATTACAAACAAGAGTTGTAAAGGTATTCATCACTGTGGTTAAATAAAGGATGTTAAATTACTTATTGTATGGTAATGGATATAGATATCGGCATCACTATGAGCAAATGCCTGCAAAATTACAATGCCAAGATTTCGATAGGTTATTTTATCAGCATACCAACCCCATGAGTCATTTTGTGCCAAATTGTGTAGTTTTAAGATTTTTTATTTTGCAGACAAATTCTCTTACAAGGTTGGATCTGTAATTCAGTTTTAGTTGCATTTTGTAGCCAGGTTTTTATTCAGTTTCCTTTTTATATTTTGTTACTTTTAAGAATGGCTTTGGGTTCGATAGTCTCAAAGTTGGTGTAGAATATTGGTCAGCTTGCCAGTGGTCTGACACACAAGTAGGCTAGTGTAGCCAAAAGCCAATGATATTTAGTTCCCCCACGAGGGCATCATGTGGCACAAGGCTGGTTTAATGTGGGATCTCCGAGCCCGTGGGCTCGGCCAAAAATATGCCCATTGAACCCGTATAAACGGGTTCAGGGTCGGTTTACCTCCCTGAAAGAGAATCCGCTTTTTGGCGTAGCCTCCTTCGGGTTCCTCCCCGCCCAAAGGCAGAGAGTTCAACCGATCAGCCAGTCGACTGACTGACCAACTCGTAGCCAAAAGCCAACTGACTCGAGTCATTTCATGGAAAAATATATGGGTGAATAAAGACCACTCATGCAAATGTATTGGTCAGGTCCATTCTAGCAAAACCTAACTGGTGTATTAGGCACTCTCCTAAAAAATGAGGTAAAATCAGCTGGCTTGCTTCACAAGGAAACACAAGAAGGCAGCCATGTTGGCAGGTAAGTCACTTGACTTCTACAGTTAGGGACATTGTAGAAATATTTTCGTAGAGGTCGCAGTTTTTTTAGCAACTAAAAAAAATTTCAACAGCGAGTACTTCTTGACATTTTGGAGGCTCTTCATTTTTTTTTTTTTTTTTTTTTTTTAAAGAGGAAGGTGTGGGTTATGTGGGTGCATCCAATTTTGACTCTTGTAAGTGTGACATTATCTTTTCTTGAGTGTCTGGTACTGTAAGGCTGTACAATCAGAATGGGTTTTATTTGATAGTTTGTTGTTTGAGTGTGTATTCCTTCACTTTTGACATGGGTTAAAAATGTATGTGTTAATTGTGGCTTTCAAATCTGTAAAAGGGATTTTTCAATTTGATATGTTTGTTGAGTGTGATCCTTATCAGCCCTGCTATTCCCAGGGATCTCGATATTTACAATGCTAAAGTAGATTGTGAATAAAGTAGGAGCCAAAAGATCAAACTCAAAAGAAATGGACCAAGGGCTGTAAAGGGTAATGACTTGGAATTGTTAATTGGAGAGCCATGTTCCAATTCCTGTTGGTTTCATTATATTCACTTACATACAAATACCCTTGGGAAAGGTATGAATCCATTCCCCACCCAGCTATGGGTTAATTAGTAAGACTTGTATCACTAAACAATTATCTAACAAAAAATAATTCTTTTTACAATCTAAAAACAGGTTTTGATTTTAAATTTTCTGTAAAGGGTTGATAAGCCATAGAAAACAAATTCATGAAATCAAAAGAAATGGATTCAATAGTTCATCATTGATACAATCCAAGTTTTCACATTGTCATATAAAGATCTGATAAGCCCTGTGAACTTATCTGGACACCATAGTTTAAGAAGGATACTCCTCCAACATGTTAGCCTATGCACAGTGTCAAAGGTCTTAGTGAGATCAAGTTGCTGTGCTCAACACTTCTTTTGAACTTTTCAGGCCATATTTTATATATATATATATATATATATATATATATATATATATGTGTGTGTGTGAACACACATTCTTCAGGAATGATAGAAGAGTCTGTTGAAGGCCCATAACTATATTTGAACAGTTCATAAAAAAAAAAAAAAAATTTGTGTGTATGTAAGTTGCATGATCTTCATATTAAAATTAATGAATTAACATCAGCCATTTTTTAAAAGAATTCAAGTTAGAGAAAACAAAGTTTGGATTGTTTTTAGAGGAATTGGAATTTAATTATTGATCAACTGCTCTCCCCAGGAATCAGTATGACATTATTTAACCCCTTTTATTATCAGAAGACTCCAGGAAAAGGGAATGTTACAGAAATAATATTCATAAAGGGATCAAGTTTCAACATTTCCAGAAAAGTCTGTGAAAAGGCCTCAGTTATAGCTACTCTTTGCCATTGCAAGATTATTTTTGGTAGAGAGGTTAAAATATGCAATTTGAGAAGGATATAATATGGTTTAGTAACAAATGCCTCATTGAAGTTATAAAATAACCCACATAAAAAAAAAGCTAAAAATCTGATGTTTAGTCATTTGGTCAGAATTGAAGAACTGAATTGGACTAAGGAGTTTTCAATAGTGTGTGTGTGTTTTTTTTTTCTGTATCAAACTCAGTACTACACAATTTTTTTTTTCAAACCAAAAATTACCCAAAGGTAGAAGCATATTGTATAGTATGGAAACACCAGAACAAATATTACACTTTGATACTAAGCAGAACATAAAGGTACTCTGATCCTAGGCGCAAATGCTGATCTATAAATAAATATTATTTTTTTTCTTCTTTTTAGGTACTATAGAAATTATTTTAATAGAATGTTGTGATTTATTAGAAATCAACAAAAGTGAAGACAATTAAGTGAATAATTCATGCAAATCTAATGAAATGGTTTTATTAAACCTGATAAATTATACAATGCAAATGTAAAACTAAGATGATTGTGCAGGTGCTATCAAATATTGGTTAATAATTTTGCTGTGTGTTTTTGTCAGGTCCAATTGTTAATATTCCGCATCTAGAAGTTAACATCGGAAGAAAATGGAAAATAAAAACACATATTACACATGAAATCTTGTCACAGAAGAAGCACCAAAAGGAAAAGAAGAAAAAGAGGCACCAAAAGGAAAAAAAAAAATAAAGAAAGAAGAAAAAGAGGCACCAAAAGGAAAAAAAAAATAAAGAAAGAAGAAAAAGAGGCACCAAAAGGAAAAAAAAATAAAGAAAGAAGAAAAAGAAAAAGAAAAAAAAAAGGAAAAAAAAAAAAAGAAAAAGAAAAAGAGGCACCAAAAAAAAATAAAAAAAAGAAGAAAAAAAAAAAAGGAAAAAAAAAAATAAAGAAAAAAAAATAAAAGAAAAAAAAAAAAGAAAGAAGAAAAGAGGCACCAAAAGGAAAAAAAAAAATAAAGAAAGAAGAAAAAGAAAAAAGGAAAAAAAAAAAAGAAAGAAGAAAAAACCAAAAAAAAAAAAAAAATAAAAAAGAAGAAAGAGGCAAAAAAGGAAAGAAAAAAAAATAAAGAAAGAAAAAAAGGCACCAAAAAAAAAAATAAATAAAGAAAAAGAAAAAAGGAAAAGAAAGAAGAAAAAGAGGCACCAAAAGGAAAAAAAAAATAAAGAAAGAAGAAAAAGAGGCACCAAAAGGAAAAAAAAAAAAATAAAGAAAGAAGAAAAAGAGGCACCAAAAGGAAAAAAAAAAGAAAGAAAAAAAAGAGGCACTAAAAGGAGAAAAAAAGATCCAAAATGAAACTTAAATCTGTTTTGAAAGGTTATTCACAGAGATCGATCAGAGTAGAAAAGAAATAGTAAGAGAGAATGTGAAAGAGAAGAGGTGGGAAAAATGTTACTGCCATCAAAGACATGAAACAAGGAGCTTGGAGCAAATGGGAAATTATGAAGCAAGGGACTTTGACATGGGAGAGAGAAATAAAATTTCTTCATGAAGTCTGTGTATTATCACCACTCTACACTTACTAACCCCAGAGATCAAGATGAAGCCAAATCCGGATCAAGAAGGCTTTATTGAGAGTTTAACAGTGGGACATGAAAGTAAGATACAGGAAGGTCCCCTAAGCCAGAAGCCCAGCCTTTTAGCTTTGATGAAAAAGCTTTGTCTAAATATCGTGAAATTTTCAGAATATTTAAGGGAAATACAGGCACAGGTTGCTTTCTTCAAATATTCATACAAATTCCTGAAAAGAAAGACAAGGTCATGATCAGACCAAATTCACATTTAGATAGGATTGCATCTTTACCAGAGATAGATGGAAAGATTGGCACATTTTATAAAACTGGAATTTACTATGACATGTCTGAGAGACAGCTGAATGATGGGAAAATAATGTCTACCAGGATAGCATCTCATACAGAAGCGTTGTCTGAAGAGTTGGACCAGCAGTACCAAAATGATATCACAGGGAAAAATCACTGGCGTATTCATTTTGTAGGCTTTGGTTTGTTTTTTATGATATATCAACCTCAATGCTGACAAAATTTTTATTGCTGGTAATATTTTTCCTTCAAAAATGTGTCTGTAATAATTTTTTCCAAAAATCTATTGCTGGTAATAATTTTTTTACAAAGTATTTCTGGTATTAAAACCTATTTTTACACTTTCATGGTGTTTTTGCCCGAGTTTGGGGGTTAAATATTTGCCCATAGCTGGGACCCTAACAGGTGCTATCAACCCGGGTCAGGGCAGACCTGGGAACACTAGCAATTAAGAGGTGGTTCCACACTCCTCAAGATCTCCTGATCAGAGGACTTGCTGTTGGGTGTAGTTGTCTTACCCTAGATGTAGATTGTCATACCCAAGATGGTCATTTTGTAAGTAGATATTGTAAAGTTGCTAGACCGCTTTAGGCAGTTATCTGTTCTATTCCAGCAGTTAAATTGTTAGACCACTGCCTGTGATTTTGATCCCCACCAAGTGCCACACTTAATGAAACAGGATAAAGAACTATTAGACAACAACTTTTGTGCTACTGACCATTAATACCGAATGCAGACACATCCTTAGGTACACTAGATAAATTTGAGATGCGATACCAATGTAGACTAAAGAGAAGATTCAAGACATGATACCAATGTAGACTCATGAGAAATAGGCTTTCCAATGCATATAGATCTTTAACCCCAAGATCCTAAAAAAGTCTTGATTTCTTTTGCCTGTCCAGTAAGGCATTAAACTGGACAAATGAGAGAATTGATATCACTATAGACTCAATAGAAAATTCAAGATATATCAAAGTAAACTCAAAAGAATCTGCTTTCTTTTTCCATATGCCATATCACCCCATGATGTAGATGGCTCTCCACGATTTCCTGTTCTGTGTAGCTCTTAATAAATTTTGCCTTTTTGTTATCTTAAACCTTGCTCCACCATCCATTTACTCAAGCTTGCTAGATAGGTTATGCATTGTTTTCCTGTCTTGTGAGAATCAAATTTTCCAAGCCTTTTTTTCTTATTATGTGCCCTAGAAATGCCAACTATGACTTCCTGATGTTAAGTTTAGGTTTTCCTTTTTGTTTCCACTTTCTCTTATACCACAGGATCATAAAAAAATGATCCTTGATTACTTTTGGCAATCCCATGATATGAGGAGATGAAGTAATCTATATAGTTGTATCCTTAGAGTAGCCCCTCCAGTGAAGCATGAAATAGTGCAAATGAGAGAACTGACTGAGGTATAGAAGAAATAATTAATAATAGCTCTCAAATCGCTGACTATTTACCTTATAAGGTTTTTGTAAATGATGAAACCATCCTTACAGTTTAGCATTATTCCACATGTTCAGGTAAATATCTTTAATTTGTAAAGCAATTTTTCTAAGACATTCATCTTCAGGTGTGTTTTACAGTGTGTCATGTTTATAATATACACTTGCAAAATATTATGCGTAAGTGGGGAATAATGAAAGTATTTTTAAAAATTTCAGAAAATAAAGCATGTTAGCCTTCCTAGAAAAGTTGGTATTTTAAGCACATATGAAATTTAAATTATCAAAAGAATACATCAATTATTACAAAAAGGTGTTGCAGCAAATGAACAGAATGAGAAAATTAGTGTATGGATTCTGTGGTTAGGTTATAGCCTTTTCATTTTTTTAATGGATAAATTTACAGTTATGTTTTTTACTGTAGGGCTTACAACATCAACAGTTTGGTAATTATAACTTCTGAAAAATGCAAAAAGATAGAATGTTTCTCAGACAATAGAAAACGGTGGAAATCTCTAAACTTGTTGAAATAATTCAAGCCAGACAAATTGACCATAGACAGCTGGGACAGTGATATGGGATATGTATAACACTCACTCGTCAAGTTTTTATAGCCTGATCAGTCTGTGATAACTACAATTTTGATCCAAGCAGAACATGGCAAAAATTATAAAAATAAATCAGATAGATGAGAATTGTATTAGGACAGGTGAAACACCTATAACAGGGAATATGGACAATGTTGGAGAAGACTGAAAAATCCTCTCTATCCTGGACTTTAAGCAGATTAGTAATTTCAAAGAATCCTTATTCAATGCCTGTATATTTTCTTCCACTTTATTTTACTAGCATGGTGCAAGAGTTTCTAAATCATGAATTTTAGTACCTAATTTTCTAAAACTTGTGTTTGCTGAATTTACAACAGATAAAGTATAATCAGGTATTGTATTTTTGCTTTATCATGGATAGTAGATGGTATAAACAACTCACTGTCAATTGAGGATCATCAGATTTAAAACTTAAATTCTTTTTTTAATTACAATTTAAAAGAAAGAAAAAATGAAAACAATTCTTGTAAAAATTCATTATTCATTGAAAAATTTTTTTTTTCTTAAAACAATAGTGTACTTAATATATCTTATTTATAAAAACAATTATAAGCTTTCCTAATTAAATAAGGTCATAGTTTTATTGCATTTTTTAATTTACAATTCAGAGCAGATTTTCCATAAATGGTTTTCCTGTTTGACAAAAACAAAATGATTGCTAAAATTCTCCAAGGAGTCCTGCTTTTAATTAATATAAATATGAAGATGCCAAAATTTTAATTTCTTGAAATTTCATAAAATTATGTAAGTAGTGGGTACAAATCAAATTTTACTGGAAAAAGGTGCTAAAATATCCGGTGACAAAAAAAGGAAAAAAATTTTTAACTAAAATTTCAAACATGCTTGAAATGATTAAAAAATTAATAAAAAATACTTTGATCTATCCTCTTAATAATAACAAATATTTTGGTGAAAAGACTTTATTTTTACTAAGTTTGGGTCCTTTTTTCATCATGGTATACTCATGCTCTTTTTTTAGTGAAAATCGGAGGTATTTAGGCTAATATCAGTATATAATATGAAGGGAATGATGGAAAGATTTTTGTTCAACCTATTCCCCCCCCCCAAATCAGACCAAATATCAATTCCTTTTTTTTTTTTAATTATTTCACATCTGGTTTGGCAGAAAACTTTGCAGCACCCCCTCATATAAATGCTAACAACAACTATAAAAATGCATTGAAGAAAGCAGAATAGGGTTATAATATGAATTATTAATATGAGGGAGATGCTGAAAAGTTGTCTTAAGCAATTCCCCAAATCTGACAACATACTCAAGCATCAGTCATACATGCTTATGTGATCATTTATCTTTTGATACATGACTGAAGAGGCAGACTTTTTCCCACAGTAGGTTGCCATTTCTTTCTGCGATAGACCAGTTGCCATCCAAGAATATAGAACCTCGTCTGTCCTGCTATTTACCCATAGGTGGGGGAGAAGAGGATTCATACCTTTTCCAAGGGTATTAGCATGTAAGTGAATGTAATGGATTCGACTGGAATTTGAACTCGGCTCTTTAATTCCTCAATCTGAGCCACTATCCATTACTCCACCATGTCTCCTGTACTTGAGAATAGTGTAAGTTTTTATGATTAGTTTTTTAACAAAAAAAAATTGTGTGGTACACACTATACACAGCTCATTTTTTCTGGAGGGGTTAAAGTTCATGCACTTTTTGGTGACCGTAATCTACCTGGTAGGCCTACATTCTCCTGGTACCTTTGGCTAACCTTAATGGCACAGGTAAGTTCCTTTAACCTACCTCTTATAACCTAGGTTCATTTTTTCTGTTGTGACACGTTTTCATATCAAATACTTGATGATAACTTGTTTTTCCTCACCATTTTGGAATAACTTTGTACAAAAAACGAATAAAGACCATTCATTTGTTAGAAAATATCTCCAGCACAATGCCCAGTACTGCAATATTTGATCATGGTAGACCTACTAGTGTTACCCAGAAGCCGGAGTCACATTATACACAAGATCTATGAAGAAAAAAAAAAAAAGTTTTTTTACAAAAATATTTGGGAGGTGGGAAGTTTATTATTCTGTGCAAATCTATATTTATAATAAGATAATTTTGATTGGGGTTCTTGATTTGGTTATTGTTCAAATTATTACTTGATTTATAATGCCAAAATTCCTGAATTAACTATATATGTTATATAATAGCTAATAAATACTTTTTTAATATAATAGAAAATGTGACACTAAGATCTGAAGTAACACTGGAATAGCAAAAGTGTGATGAAGTGCTATGTAATATCAATTTTCCTATGTGGTAATAAATATTGGAGAATTTTCTCAAAGATGAATAGGAGACTTAACACAAAAGATGTGATTTTCTTTTACAAAAGAATGCTAAGAATACCATGAATAGAGCATGCAAGCAATGAGGAAGTTTTAAGGAAAATGGGGGAAAAAATAAAAGAAAGAGGCACATACACTACAGTTAAAAAATTTGAAGCCAACCCCAGAATTAGCATGGGATGAAGAGTGGGGGGAAAATATATATATAAAAAAAGAGCTCTTAGAGTCATTGAAAAAAAGAATGGAATCAATTATCAGACTGAGAAACTTTTGCAACAAATGCCAAAAATGTGTAAT